TTTAAGCCTCATATTAACCAAATGTTTTATGCCTCATACTGTATTAACCAGATAGTGGTTTTATGCCTCACATTAACCAGATAGTGGTTTTATGCCTCACATTAACCAGATAGTGGTTTTATGTCCCATACTAACAAGCTGACAATCAGAAGCCATTCTATGGGACGGGGAACCTGCTAACCTGCACAGACGGGACATTCTGAAGCCATTCTATGGGACTGATAACGCCTGATAACGTCCATTTCCTGGATGATAACATCCGAAGCGGGTGATTTTATTCAACTGAAGAAAATGATCCACACCTTCAAGGAGCAGTGGGTCCTCACAAGGTAGTATATGTTGGGAAAATGGGCCTTACAAGGTGACAAATATTAGAACCCACACAGGTAGATGTTCTATCCTTATCAGGACAGTGTTTATAACCAACCTGAGGAGGTCCAGTCCTGGTCCTGCAGGTCCACTATCCTGCARGTTTCAGAGGTTCCTCTGCTCCAACACACCTCAGGTAAATGAACAGGCTTCTGCAGAACATGAAGAGGTGACTCCATCACTGAATCAGGTGTGTTGGAGCAGAGACACATAAAACCAGGACCAGGACTGGACTCTTCTGCTGTAGCCTAATCCTGACCCCAAGCCTAACCAAAGGTGTCAAAAACAACACATCCAGCCCTCAGATACAAGGTAGCCCCCCTAACAGAGGGTTAAAATAAGTGGGGCACCGTGGGATGGGGGGGCTGCGAGGCCTCAAAGCACAGGATTAGAGTTAATGTGCCCTCCCTGGGTTCTAATCTCTTCAGAGGGGGACTTTGTTTGAGGGGCTTGAGGGCAGTAAGATAAGTATCTATTACAGAAGCCCCCTCTTATCCCCCCACAACATCCCCGCTTCAGAAACGAAGMACAAAAACACTCGCCTGTGTTCCCCTCTGTGTCGCCTGAGACCCAAGATCCAAAAGCAAGTGTTGCCCTTTTCAGCTAATCAGGAMTTAAAATCCAAAGCTGCATGGAGAGTCAGGGGGTCCATATTTACTCCATTCGGGGTCCACAAAGTCAGGTAGCTTCAGGCAGATCAAAGGCAGCTTCAAAAACACACAATATTCAGCAAAAACAGGAGAAAAATACTGAAATAAAGATTACAGCAGAATCATCCAACAGGAAACATCATTTATCTATAAAAACACTTTATTCCAAAATATTTTATTACATAAATACTGTGAAAAAGTATCAGATTACACAAATACAGTAACACCAAACAGCATTAAACTTCAGAACAAATCTGKTTTTTTTTCTAAACAAATTGAAATAAAGAGCGAACAAAGAAAACTTTTAGGTTTAATTAAAGTTTGCTGGAAGTTATCAGTTTCAATCTGAACCAACAGGAAATCAGTTCACTACAAATCTTTCTTTACCACATTAACTGATTCATTTGGTTATTTGTTGATTATCCCATTTACTCTGTCATAAAAATKACTCATTATGCTGAAAATTAAATATATGTCTAAGAGTACTTCTAAAGATTAATATTTAAGAAAAAAGTAAAAAGGTTCAAAGTTAAAATATTTAGTTTTCAAGTTAACTAGGTTTCCTTGATGTATTTGAAGTTTTTTTAATTAGCTTGAATGAAAAAGGTCGGCCTTCAGCCCAGGATCTTTACTTCAGTTCTGTTAATAATTTGTTTCTAATATATTTTAGATTTCTGCTGTAAATCTGTATGAATGTTTGAGTTGAATGGAACCAAACATGTGAAAGTTAATATAAATACAATATGAAATGAGAACATTTAGTTTAGTCTTATTTGAAAAAGACAAAAGAGGTATGTTTTTATTAACATATTAACACAGTTTTCAAAAATATTTGACCTCAATCACAACTTTATTCAAAGTATTTATTTATAATTTTCTCACCTAACCTGAAGGGAGAATTCAGTTCTTAGTAAAATGACTTCATCCAACACAGTTTTTTYAACAGGTTTGTGAAAAGTGAGTCTGATTCAAACAGACAACTTGTTTACTTTAAAACAGAGACTATTATTAGTCTGATTTGAAAAAAAAACTTATTTTGTGGTACCAACCTGCAGTTTAACATGCCAGTTTTATTAACAGATTAAATCTGTTAATAAAAAAAAAGGAAAAAGCTTTAAGTTTCTTGCAGCCTGACCCTTAATTTACACTACATGTGTCTCCACTCCGGTCCGACCTCCGCAGCAAATACACACCCATTCTAATCAATAAGAGTGTTTACACATTTACACTGGCTGCACACAGCGGCGGTGAGCAGACGGTGATCCGGCAAAATGAGATCCGATCCTATTTCTGCCTAGCCTGATAAAAACCAGACCCTTTCCTTCACTTTGCTTCGTACAAGGGTCTGGACTCTCAACTATAGAGAAGTGATTCTTGGTGGAGGCGTGGCCTCTGATGAAGTTTAAAATGATTGGATCAGTTGGCCGCGACATATATTGCTGTGAAGGAGGCTAAGCTAAGAATCTAACAAGAAATCAACCCTACTGAGAGGAGACAAGTACCGAGCCCAACGGGACAACTGTAAATGAGAGCTGCTGCTTTGTCAGACAAATTTAATTTAATTAGGAGGCCTTATCAACACGGACTGGCTTCATTCACTTCCTCCACTACCGATGTCTGCGTTTCCATTACAAATGTGCGCAAAACTTTGTTGATATTCTGTTAATGTCGAAAAACACAGTTTC